ATTATCAGAGAACTGAAGCATGTCTCCTATGAAGAGCAGCTGGGGCTGCTCAGGCTGGAGAAGACTTCAAGCAGACTTTATTGTGGTCTTCCAGTGCTTGAAAGGGGGTCACAAGAAACATGAAGACAAATTTGTTAGTCGGACCTGTAGCAAAAGGGCAAAGGTAATGGTTTTGAACTAAAAGAGGGTAGATTTAGGCTAGATATAAGGAAGAAATTTATTATGATGAAGGTGATAAAACAATGGAAGAGGCTGCGCAGAGAGGTGGTGGATTCCCCATCCCTGAAAATAGTCAAGGTCAGGTTGGATGAGGGTTTAAGCAACCTGATACATTTGAAGATGTCTCTGATCACAGCAGGGTGTTTGGTTCTAGATCACATCCTATCATAAAATGCTTTGAGTGGGAAAGAACCTTAAAGATCATCTCTAGTTCTAACCCCCCTGTCATGGGCAGGCATTGGTATAGCTCAATATGCTATGGAGCCTGTGATGCAGGTGCTGAAATCAGGTGAATTGTCTTGTCATGGCATGGAGGGGAAGGGGGGAATGTGGGGTGAGGTGTAGTCTGCACGATGCGGTTCTTCAGCCTGATGCCCAGAAATGTTTTGCAGAAACCAAGTACACCTCCTACAAAGAAATATTCCATACAATGTGCCCACAAACAACGAAAGGCTTGACCACAGTCCCATCCACAGCTCTTCACACAGTAGTGGTTATAAAATGTACCCCGATCTTGCATCTAATCAGGGGATGAGAATTCAGCACAAAATTGCAGGTTGATGGGTTTGTTCTCCTTGCTCTCCCCAGCAGGGACACCTTTTGGTAAGCCCTACACTCTCAGATCCACTGAGTGTTGACCCTGATATTAAGCTTGTGATTGCAATTACATTGTTACTGCCATATACAGCTACTCTGCAGTAAATGCTCTGTCACCTGCAACCCAAAAGAACCTTATGTGTTGCACTCAATGCACTGTGCTATTTGTGAATCCAACTATCTCTTTTGACTGCAACCAGACCTATAGCTCATGTACTATTTGTGCATCTGGTGTGGGACCTGTAGTTATGACTTTGCAATACGAGTGATACATTTATGTCATAACCAAAGATGACCTTTAAAGCTCCCTTCCAACCCAAGCCATTCTATGATTCTGTGTGGGCAGTTAACCATTACAGCACACCTGCAGGACCCATAATATTCTAACATCCATGAGACTTAACACTGGCAAAGACTGCTTCAAAAATATACAGCCAGCAAAACAACGTCTCACTTATCCTAAGCATGAAATGTAGTAGTCTCAGCAGCTATGAGCTTCAAATAAACTGTTGGTCAATACAATTGCTTACTATCCTCCCTGTTCATTATTTCTCTTTCTGACTGAATCAAGAAGAGAAGGAATGGTCACACTAGGAAGTCATGCACATTCTAGTAAAGAAGTCACTATTTTGGGGTGAATTCCACCTACTTTAGGAGGCTAACTGAAGACATGTATGTCCCAAACAGTCCTGCAGAGACAATAAAAAGATAAACTACTCCAGATGTGGAGGACAAACCTAATTCAGATGCCTTCACTCTCTCTTCTCTATTGAAACATACACCACTTGAACACATTATATTCATTTCCCTGCCCCCAGTTTGTGCTGGGAATCTGGTAAGTCACAAAGTTTTTCTTTTGTAACTTTAGAATGCAGACATTATTTATGGGTCTCTGAAGGTACACCAAATCCAAGAATTCTGCAGCATGCACATGTCCATATTCAGTCATCTGCACAGGCTACTGTGAGTGACACCTTACTGGACCATTTCTACAGGATGAAGGCTGGTGTAAGAGACAGGACTTTTGCTGTCTACCACAACCCCCATGCACCATAACACCAGGGTTCTGAGATCTATTGACAGAGTTTCTGCCTTTCACTGACAGGTGAAGTCTACTATTACTAGAGAATTAAGCTCCTTCTTCAAGAAGAAAAATTGCTCTCTGTGTATCCTTATCAGGCACATATTTAAGATACTACCAGATGCACATACTGAAATTGTATCAGCAAATTAATTCCCAGTACACCTGCCAGAAATTTTTAATAGCAGTGGTAAATCTCTTCAATCAATATAAGCCAATAAAAAACATACTTAAAAATAATATGAGAGGAATTAACCACAAAGACTGCCCATGTATTTTCAGTTACAACTGAATGTGAACTTCTAAATTTTAAAGTCAACTGGTATGGTGTCTACTTTGTTTTCTGACATCAGGAACAGACAAAAAGGTGCCCAGGAGTCTTTCCAATAAATCCAGTTCACATACACACTGGCTTTTCTGGTTGCCAAAACTATCCCTACTGCTGGGTGACTATTACTCTATATTAATTTGGAGTGCTGGTGTAATTGCTGAGAATGGAAAGGATGGCATAGAAAAACCTAGCAAATGTGAGAATTCAGAAAGTTACCAGGTCGTATTCTACTGTCAAGTTGTGGAATGTATTGTCTGATTTCGTGCTTTGTGCAACAGAGCAAAAACTGCCTTCCACATTACTTTTATAGCTATTCTGAAAATTGAAAAGATGAATATGACAATATCACTTTGCTTGTTAAAAAACCTGGATCAAAGTGGAGCCAGAGAATCATTTCCCTAGGTTTAGCTCCACACAAGAAAAGATTTCTTTCCTCCAACAGAGCAACATGAGCGCCAAAGTCCTCACCTAAAATTGTTGTTAGAAATACAGACAGAATTCAAACGCTCATTAAATAAAGACAGGACAGAAAAATGTTTTAAACCATTTTAGGAAGTTAATTTATTGACAATATATAATTGTGAATGTAAATGATTATATTCTAGACAGCTAAAAGTGTGGTAATTGGCGAATCCACCTATTTTCTGTTAAATTTTTTGCCAGCTGTATGATACCAAAACTTCAAAACCAACATTTCCACTATCAAATGGTACAAAATATTCATTTATTTAACTAAAAGCTGTGTGTGAAGATTTTTACCTATGAATAATGTGATGTTTCATGCCATGCCCCATCTTCCCATTCCAGCCAGGGAAGTCTGTCAGCACCAGTGGGACCAAGCACTGATCCTCTTCCTGCTCCTGCAGCAATACAGCAGATTCTTCCCAGCCACACAACGATGCAAGGCCAGCGTGAAGGCTCCTCTACTCCCCCTCCTGGGAGGCCCGAAGTTCAGCTGCTGCCTTTCCTCACAGAGTAGTAAACAGCCTGCTTTCTGTTCAAGAAATGAAGCACAGCCGAGCTGGATGGATTTTGCAAATGAAGGCAGGAGCTGGGAGGGGGCAGAGCTCATCACCCAGTTATCTGTAGAAGGCAGCCCCATTGGGACTCCTCTCTCCCGGGCTGAGGAAGCTCAGGAGACCCCAAGCCATGATCCTGCTCCATTGCAATCCCCTCTCTCAGACTCTCTAATGCCTGGAACATCCTGGCATCCCGGCCCTCTTCCTTCCAACGGCACCGTGGGGCATTTTCCCTAGGAACCAGTCAGTGCAGCAGTATGTTGAACAGCATCTGCAATGTCATCTCCAACCAAGACCCCCCCAAACTTGCTGATTTCCACCAATAACAGCGGTATGATCAGACAATAGGGCAACAAAGTAATGCATGAACGATCCCAGTGTAGATAGCAATGTACATTTACTACAACCTGTCTGAATAGCATCTGGAATTTTTAATACCACTAATTCAAAAAGAATTATAAGAAAAAGCTCTAAACTAGGTGAGTGGAGGTAGGGTTTCTAAACACGGATATTGCAGGTTTAAAAATTGAGCTTTCACACGAGAATAGGAAAAACTATACTGAAGGAGAAACACAAGCAGCTTGTAAAACTGATGACAATGGAGCAAGCCCTTATGAATGCTTCTCAACCCATCAATCATACTGACTCCCAGCCACGCCACACCACCATTCCAACAGTCTACGCACTTTGAGACAGACATGATTCCACACCACATGGGATTCCAAAATCCCCAAGTTTCTGGAAAATAGATTTTGTCCCGACTTTTGTGACAGATGGAATTGATAGTCTGGGGATGAAAAAAGCGCCAGTTTTGACAGGCAACAGATACCGATGCCCCTTGTGGTTGGAGACGATGTTGCTCTGGAATTAAGGTAGCACTGAAATGAAAGGCAGTGGATAAATGCACGACCACTTCGTTGTGCTCTTCTCCTTGTGCCTTAATATTTTTGTTTCTACTTCCTTATAAATTGAAAGTGTAACAAGAAGGCAGAACTTCAGCAAGGGATTTTGAATTAAATTAAAACTCTTAACAGATTTTTAAAAACATTTTACAAGTTGGCAGATCACGTATCAAAGTATCGAAGAACTATACTGGGATCTACTGCCAACAGGCACCCTCGCAAGTCAGCGTCTCAAAACCGTGCACAAAAATTGCAGGCGAGAAGCTGAGCTGAATGACCTTAAAATCGGTGGGGTATGCGGCAAGTGGAAAGCTGTATTACTGAAAGTACAGCAAAGGAGTACATGGTCGCACTACACCACTAATAGCATTGCTCTCCCGGAGAGTACCTGCACACTGAAACCAGGACCTCAGTTTCTATTTCAGAAAGAACAAAGTCGGTCCCATTTTGAGCCTAATCCTCCCTACCGTTCTGGTAGCAGCTCTGCCCTCACTTGAATCACTGGGAAGTTTGGGTACACGCGTCACTCGAGCTAGAGAACTCGTTTTTCCCCTCCTTGTCGTAGAGAGCAGGACCAGCGAGGGTACCATGCCCGGAAGCCCGGCGCGGCAGCCGCCCGGCTCCGTCCCCGCGCGGCTGTTGCCGCAGCGCCTCTCGCCCGGCCGCCGCGCCGCCTTAACGGGAGGAGGGGCTCCTCGGGGGGCTGTCACTCTCCTTAAGCCTTTCCTTTCAAGCTTTGAATGTGAGCTGCCCTCCAGCCCCCCTCTCTCCTTCCCTCCCTCCAGCACATCGTAAAGAGAAGGAGGGGGAAAAGAAGAAAAAAAAAAAAAAAAAAAGGTTTCAACAACAGGCTGGGCCAATGGCAAGTGGCGAGGCAGGGAAAGGGGGCCGAGCGAAGGGAGAAAAAGTGGAGAAAGGGAGAAAGAGAGCGAGAAAGCGCAGGCTGGGGGGGTTGTGTAAAAGAAGAAGCGTTGCTAATTTTTTTTGTTTGTTTGCTTTTCCATGCATGCATAATGAAGCCTAATCAGAGCACGTTGCTGCTGCTCGGAGGGCACTTTTGTATTTAAAGCCTTGCAGAGAAAAAAAGATCCACAGAAGGATCCACAGAGCAGCTTGCAGGGCTTGTTGACAACAGAAGCAGCATCAGTCGTCCAGAGAGAAAGAGACCGCGAAGGCTGCTTCTTCTCCTTTCCCCGTGCACTCGTCTTGGTAGCGGGGAAAGACATCTCTTCTCCGCGCCACCCGAAAGCGTGATGCGTACCGAGAGGGAGTCAGCGGAGCCGGGACTGTGAACGGGATCGGAGCGGCTGGCATGTGCAGAGATGCTGCGAGCGGAGAGTTAAAAGCTCCCGAGAAGGCAGCAGCAGCAGCAGCTGGGCATTTATTTTGTGGGGAAAGAAAAGAAGAAAAAAGAAGAGAGAGAGAGAGAGAGAGAGACGGAACTGCATGAGGAGCAGTACAGCACCATGAGCTCTCCCGGCGCAGCCTGCGATTCCCCGAGCGTACTACGGATCCACTGCCGTCCGAGCCCCTGTTTGCACTGACTGCCCGCACCTCTCCAGGCGCCTTCGCCGCCGCCTCGCCGAGCCCGGAGCAGAGGCTGGGGGACTCGGGAAGGCCCCCGGGCGCCTGCTTCGTACCGCGGCCCCGCCGACTTCAGCTCCCGGGGGCTGGAGAGCCCCTGGCCCGGCGCGCATGGATTGATGCGAGGAGACCTCATGCACACGGCAGGCGGGAGTTTTGGAAACTTTTACACGGGCGGCAGCTCCTTCTCCTCCTCGTCCTCCTCGTCTACCGGCGCCTCTTCCCAGCTCGCCCGCGGCTGCAGCCACTATTCCCGTCCGCGATGGTGGCCCGCTCGCCCGCTCGGCACGGAGGCGGCGGCCGGCGCTGGCCGCGGGCGGCCGCCTGGCTGTGGTTGGCGGCGGCGCTGGGCGCCGTGTGGCCGCCTCGGGGCTCTCTGGTGCAGGGCCGGCGGCTGATCTGCTGGCAGGCGGTGCTGCAGTGTCAGGGGGAGCCCGAGTGCAGCTACGCGTACAACCAGTACGCCGAGGCGTGCGCCCCGGTGCTCCTGCAGCAGCAGCCGCCGGCGGCGGGCGGCGGGGACGGCCAGGCGGGCGCTGGAGGCGCGGCCGCCTCGTCCAAGCGGCGGTGCCCCAGCCACTGCATCGCGGCGCTCATCCAGCTGAACCACACGCGGCGTGGCCCGGCGCTGGAGGACTGCGACTGCGCGCAGGACGAGAACTGCCGCGCCACCAAGCGCGCCATCGAGCCTTGCCTGCCCCGCACCAGCAGCCCCGCGGGCGGCGGCCCCGGCCCCGGCGGCCCCGGCGTCATGGGCTGCACGGAGGCGCGGCGGGGCTGCGACTGGGGCAGCCGCTGCAGCCTGGCGCTGAACCGCTACATGACCTACTGCGGGAAGCTGTTCAACGGGCTGCGCTGCACGCCCGAGTGCCGCGCCGTCATCGAGGACATGCTGGCCGTGCCCAAGGCCGTGCTGCTCAACGACTGCGTCTGCGACGGGCTGGAGCGGCCCATCTGCGAGTCGGTCAAGGAGAACATGGCCCGCCTCTGCTTCGGCGCCGACATGGGCGGCAACGGTGCGGGCAGCAGCGGCGGCTCGGACGGCGGCCTGGAGGAGTACTACTACGAGGACTACGAGGAGGAGCCGAGCCAGAAGGGGAGGGACGACGCGGAGGACAATGCGGGCGCCGAGCCCGGCTTCCCTGTGCAGGCAGATAACGCCGGCCGGCCCGCCGGCGCGGTCGGGGCGCTGCTCGCCTCCATCTTGGTGCCGCTACTGCCGCGGCTCTAGCATCCCCTCCCTTCCCGCACCTCTCCGTGCCTGCTTCCCATCATTCTCCGTGCCTGCTTCCCATCATTGCCTCCTTCCATCACTGCCTCCTGCCCCATCCCTTTCCCCTTTGCCGGGCCGGGCAGGGCCGGGCCAGGCCCCCCGCGCCGAGCCGCCGCGGACCTCTAGTCGAGCCCTCCCGCGGCGGCCGGGGATCCGGCCGGCGGGGCCCCTCGGCGCGGAGCGGCTTTAGACGCTCTGGCCGCGGTTTTCCCGACCCATCGTCCTGGCTTCCCGTCCCTTCGCGTCTCCCCCTGTGCCTCCGCTGCTGCCTGCAGCCTCCAGCCGACCCCTTCCCCCGTCCCGGCGCTGCGAGCCGGCCGCTGGAGCGGTGGCCGGAGCGCAGGGGCCGCTCGTGTTTCGGGTGTTGGTCTCGAGTGTGCACTATGCAATTGCTGCCACCCTGCCTTCGTGTTACCAGCGAGCGGAGCGGCTGACAGAGACTGCGAGCGAGGCCGCCAGCCGCCCCTCGGGACAAACCGGGAGTCGTGGCATGCTGGTTCTGGGGGTCTTTTAAGAGTTTTGACATGAAGGTTAGTAAGAGGTGAGCAACCCAAACTTGCTGCCAAAGCGTTGCCGTACTAGTTAGTCAGCAACTTATCATTAGCCGCATCTCGCTCGTCCTGATGCAGTTGTGCCTGAAAGGGGCTTTCGCCGCATCTGCTATTAAATTTAGGGAAATAGCAGACTGAATGCATTCGGTGGTTTACAGCACTCCCTCTTGCACACCCATATTCCCTGTAACAAAAGCGTGCCAGCAGCCGTCTCTTACTCTGTAACCTAGCGACATTAAAAAAAAAAATAAATTGTTTCTGAGTTGTTGGCTATACTGAACAATGCAACTTTTGTTTTAAAAGAGCTCTGCACTGCCATCTTTGAAAGACACTTTTAAACTCGAGAACATGTATGTACAAATATCCTGAAAAGTTTTATTGCCTCGTCGTATCAGGGTGCTGACCTCTGGTAAATCTTATATAAAAAAAAAGTATTTAAAACTGGGATTTGTTACCAGTCGCTCTTCATTGTATATAGAATTTTATAAATTGTATGCTTTGGGGATAATTTATTTAAAAAAAATAATAAAAAGTTTTAATTTCACATCCTATTTGCCAGGTAGCTGCATTTGCTATTAGTTTCTGGAAAGGTACAGATTTCACTTTATGTTTAAAGGGATACCAGCAACAGTGATTAAGTGAAGTATTGTCTAGACCATCAAATGTACAGTGTATTTTACAGATTGAAAGTTAACTTTCTTATTTGGAGAGACTTTATGAACGTTTTAGAATTGTGTAAACGCATTTCTGAGCTGCCTTAAACATTGTATTTTTTATAGAAGGTGTAAAAAAGGCCTGTCTTTTAAATATGTATGGCTTTTTTGTATTTTCTGAACGTGTAAATTAGTTAAGAAAGAGCTTTAAATAATGGATGCAGTGAAATTGTCTTCCAGGGACACTTGAACTCTCAGCACCCTAGATGAGGGGGTGGGGGAAGAGAGGCGGGGATCAAACCACAGAATAACAAACCAAAAAACAGTGGAAAAAAAAAATAAAAAAAAAAATAAACGAAATCTGTGTCTGCCTGTAATGCTTCACATAGATGTAAATGACTGCTATTCTTACTTTAATGGATAATTACATGCAAGAAGTAAATACAGCTTTGAAAGTACTTCTTTAAATGAGTGGTTGATTTTATAATGCGTTGGCATGGTAACTTGCCAGTGCCAGAAGAGACTACAGCAATTCAAGGACACTTGCTCCTGTATATATACGTGCGGAATTACTAGTGCACCGAGCTTCCTTCGTGCCGGCTCGCCGCTCTCGCTGGCGCTTGCAGAAGTGCTCCTAGGCGTGCAAACAAGCGGTGAGAAAAGCATCTCACCGCACAGAGGCGGCCAGCGTTTCCAGCGAGGCGTCGCTTCGCGCGGGCAGGGGCGCAAGCATCAAGGCAGCTGCAACAAAACCCAAAGTTTGCTATTCAGCTTGCCTTCTCCCACAACGAAGAATGCAAAAGTAAACACGCTGAAGGGATCAGCAATTACTAGATCTTGTAATACTGTGCTTAGGAGATGCTTTGCATCGTGCTGAAGCCTGGTTTGCTGCCAGAGCTACTGATCTACACTCAAACGCCCTTAGATAAATAATTACACTCTTAAGCTGTGTCGAGTGCTGATACACTTGACCTTGTAAATAGAAATGTTTGCAGTAGGAATAAACTCCGGCACTGGAAAATCTTTTAAACATTAACACAAAAGAGAGAGCTCAGTCCTCTAGGGATTTGAGTTTGGACTGCGTCAAGCTAGGCACTCAAAAAAAAAAAAAAAAAAAAAAAAAA